CATCGTGTATAGCCAATATACCATGTCTGGTTTTAGCCCCCATGTTTTTCCATAGGTGCGTCTGGCGAGCATCAGTGCTACCTCCGCTATCCTCTTTATCCTGTCCAAGTGTTGGTTCCAGGTCAGTTTGGAATCTAGGATTACTCCCAGATATTTAACCTCCTCCGACACTTGAATTTCTTCATCTCGAAGTTTTAAAGATTCGAGACCCTCCGTTTTAGTCCTCTTGGTCAATGCTACTATGGTCGATTTATTATAATATTCAGGGCCTGCTGCAGTCATCCCTTCACTACATTATTGTATTTGCCCTGGACTAAGATGATTAAGTCGTCTGTATAGCGCAGGGCTTTATACCCATTATGGTCCAAGAGACATAGTAGCTCGTCCATTACAAGGTTTCATAACAGAGGGAATAGAAAACCCCCCTGAGGACAGCCCCTTGCTACCCGTGCCACGACTGTTTCCCTCATAATGGCTTTATATACCAATCTTCCCCTAAGCATGCAGTCTATCCACCTATAGATTGTCTTGTCGATCTCTCTTCTCCTCGACGCCTGGATGATTGATTCTAACGACGTATTATCAAATGCGCCATCAATGTCCAAAAAAGCAGCTAAAAGTACTTCCTTGTTTTTGTTACTGTTTCTGTTACCCGACATAGAGCCGTTTCTGTTGACATACCTGACCTGTATGCATATTGGTCTCGATGTAATGGTCTGATAGCCAGTGATACGTCCCTGATATGCCTGTCAAGTAGTTTTTCTAGCGTTTTCAACGCAAATGACATGAGACTAATTGGTCGCAAAGCTTTCACCGAGTCCTGTCCGATTTTCCCAGGTTTCGGAATGAAGGTGGCCCTGATCAGTCTCCAAATTTTTGGTATCTGTCCAAGTGCTAGGCTTGCCCTGAGAATAATACACAATTTTTTGAAAAGTACTTCCGGTCCCTTTTGAAGCATTACTGGGTATATGCCATCAGGTCCCGGTGACTTATAGGGTTGAAATGAGTTTACAGCCCATTTAATTTTCTCTATATCTATCACCTTCTTTGTCATTTGCCAGTCCTCCCTGAATTCTGAATTCGCCCGGTGTTAAATTTGTAATTTCTGACCCGGGAAAGTGTACCCGGAAAAGCTCTCTGATAGTATCTTCTCCGGTTTTTGGATACTCCCCCGTATTTGTTTTCAGATTATTTATTGAGACCTGAGGTTCCTTCAAGTGTATTTTGTAGAGCATGGCACATACTTGGGTCTGTTCGACATCCTCACATTGCCTTCTCCACGTATCTCTCTTGGATTTTCTCATGACTTTGTTATACTCAGTTAGGGACCTTCTGTATTGGTCCCATGAACTTGATTTCCTTGCACATTTGAAGACTTTTCTAGTTTTTTGTCTCATCCTCGCCAGATCTTCATTCCACTAGGGCACATTCCTGTTTGATCTCTGGTTTACTATGGGACAATGTTCGTTGTACGTAGAGATGATATCTCCCTGTAATCGATCTGCTGCCAACTCTAGGTCTATGGAATCTCCGATGTCAAAATCCATGCGGTCTAAACAGGTTTTCAAGTCCACCGTATAAGCTCCCCAGTTTGTTTTCCGGAGATTTTGATATGTTAGTATCGAGGTCTGAATCCCTCCGATTTCAAAGTTTATGTTTCGATGGTCTGAACAACTGTCCTCATCGGACACATTCCATTTCCGAACATAGTTACTTACAAATGTAGTTCCTATCGTTACATCTATCACTTCACTACGTCTCGCATTTACGAAAGTAGGTTTGTTGCCTATGTTTAAAATGTCATGATAAATTGCAGTAAGTGCTCACCTCTTTCGTTGGTGCTTCCCTAGGTTAGGTGGTGTGCATTGGCATCACAGCCAATTATAAGTTGTAGTCCCTCTGGCAGGTACTAACCAACTCTTCCACTTCCCTGGTTGTTGGTGGTTCCGGACTGTCGTAAGGGAGGTATGCTGATCCAATGACGATTTCCTCAGGTCCGCCCCTGCCAGCCGTCTTTATTTTGACTGCCGTTAAGTCTCTGGAACACAAATTACTCAACGGCAGTATATTTATTCCTTTACGAGTAATTTTGCATGTTCTTGGGGTCTATGAGGTCCTGTTATAAATTAACTCCCCTCTGATGCCACCCAATCCCATTATTTTTTTCCTGTACACCCAGGGTTCTTTATGAGAGCAATATCAAACCCCCCCTTAATTTGGTAAGGATAGCCGAGGCCCCCTTACTGTGTTGCAGATTTGTTTATATTACTCTCAACATTGCTGTTAAGATTCTTCAGGACCTTGAAGATGACCATGCCCAGCTTATAGTAGGCTTTAAACATGTTCCCTTCCAAGGCCCTGAAGGAACTTTCATTCGTGGAGAAGGCCAGGATTTGTCCTTCCTCTTCCCCTCTTCTGCTCAGAAAGAAGGATCCAGTTTTCCACTCCCAGGACAGGATTCTGCTAACTGAGGCGTGTTCTAACTGTAGCCTCCTTGTCTTTTTGGCCCTTAATGAAGACTGGGACCCTCGGTCTCTTCGGAAGTTCGTTGGCCTCGACCACGGTCAAGGCCGCCCCCTTCCAAAGATTGCCCAAGTTTCCAATGCTTCCTCTAAGCTATTCTTTTGTCCCTTCATTCGCACAGGTTATCCATAGGACCTCTGCGCCGAATGAAGTCTTTTTAAATTGAAGGTTTTCCAGGCTACCAGAGGGAGTATTGTCCAATTCGCGGACAAGTCCCTACTGGATCAGGTCTGCTTGACCCTGACTCAGGGTGTCGCATGTCGGTGACCGCCACTCTCAGGCCCCCAGCAGCCTCGCTTTAGGTTCCAGTTTCTTTGGAATCCCAGGGTTTTTTCAGTACCTTCTGTGAGGGAATTTTTACATCCTCTCTAGGTCTCTTTTTGGCCCTTTCCACAGAAGTTGCTTTGGTGGCTCGAGGAGTCCTCCTCTGATATTTCTCGTATCCATCCAAGTCCCACGAGTATGAGGGAAAGGGTTGTCCACATCCATGATGCCCCCTGTATAGATGTAAGGCTGGATACTCTGGGAGGTCGCCTTGTATCCTAAAGACTCCTTTAGTAATACCGATAAGGCTCAGGCACCTTTCATCCTTTGGCATGGGTCGCATAACACCTTGGCGTGGGTCTTTCTTGGTCTGACTGTTCTGTTACGGCCTCTTCGGCATGGGAGACCCTACCAGCAGCTAAGCTGCCGCCGACATAGCCCATAACTTCATCATAGTAAGTGAGCCCTCCCACCACGACAAGGTGAAGACCCCTCGGGACCCACAGAACGAAGAACTCTCGCTAAAATGGCAACGCCTGCTTCTTGTCTAACTGCCAATAAAGGCTGGTGAAAGAAATGCTGTCAATCTATCCGTTAAAGTATCCTCCCTTACCTAACTGTCAGTCATGTAACGAGCCGATAGCTCTGTTCTGGTGAAAGTGACCCTTATTAGTGATTTTAGGGCTAACTGACTGACACACAAATATTTTTTTAACAGAATCTCTAGTAACGTAGTAACGCAGAATTTTCTATAAAATATTGAACAATTAATTCATTGACTATATTTTGCTGCAATTATTATTATTACCGTCACATAATTCGAAACTATTTGTAGTTATGTATGTAATTATCTGAAAAAATCTCCAAAACGGCATTGATGTATAAAACTGAATCACTTGAGAAAGCTACTGTGCTAGCGAAACATGTTGTGATAAATTTTTCAAATAAAGTTTGTAGAGTTCAAATCGTGAGGTGTAGTTTCTGAAATGAATCTTTAGTGTTGAGATTTCAATATTTTCTAGCTGTTATAGTATTCAAACAGTTTATGTGATATATTTCATCAGTATTATTTCAATGTAGAATTTTTGTATCTTCTGAACATATTTTCATCTACAAAATCCTTTCGAAGTGATTTTCTCAACTAATAATTAGAACAATTTAAATGTTACCTAGCCCAAGTAATCACATTTAATTAAAATATATTTTGGATAGTCTCGACTTTTTGTTGGTACTTTTACCTCTTTCACTAAATATTTATGATGGTTCACTTATAATATGGATGGAATAATCAAAAAGTTTCCTGTTTTATTTCAAGGTCAAGAAATTTTGTTTATCTACAAAGCTTGAAGTATGAAATAAGGAGTGTATTTGATTGAATACATAAATATTGATGGAAACCAATATTTGCTCTCAATAATAGTAGTGTAGTGTGCTGGCAAATGATTATGCCAGCTGCAAGCGTGTCCATGCGACTATTTCGCTGTCTACAGACGCCCTCGAAATTCTAAACTAAGTGTTCTGTGAAATAATCATTAACACAGTAAATGTTTCAGTCAAAACAAGGATAGACTAGACCTCTCTAGATGATATATTATTTTATTGCTCTGAGTAGACGTCAAAAATTGTTCTAGTTTTTTTCTCTCACTCACTCGTACTCACTTTGAGTACGAATTCATAAGTCTATGACTTCATGAGCTAAGTCACAGAATATTGGAATCTGAATCTATGTCATGTCATGTCATGTCATGTCATTGACTGTTAATTGATTTGTTTTTTGATATGAACCCTTAAAAATTTTGCAAATATGATATTATGCAAGTACCAAATATCAAACACATATTGCCATACCCTAAATTGGGATACCGTTTCCTCTTTAAAATACAGGACAAGAAAAAAGAATATGTAGCCAGAAAATTAGTGGGGTGGGGACTTATATATTTTTTAGTTTCAATAAAGTTAATTTCACATCATTTTTCAGATTTTCCAACAATGAAATGTATCAAGTAGTGTCAGACGTAAAACGTTATAAGCAGTTCCTGCCCTTTTGCACCAAATCAACAATACTAATGAGTAAACCAAATCAGCTTCATGCCAATTTAGAAATTGGATTTCCACCAATTGTAGAAAACTACACATCCAAAGTTTTTCTTGATGAACCAAATTCAGTGAAAGCAATTTGTACAGATGGACGTCTATTCAATTATCTAGAGACAACATGGAAATTCAGCTCCGGGCTCCAAAGCAATCCCAGGACTTGCATAATTGACTTCTATATTCAATTTGAATTCAAGTCTGCCATATATTCACATGTAGCTTCTATGTTTTTCGAGAGACTAGTTCAACAAATGGAAAAAGCCTTTATCGATGAAGTACGAAAAAGATATGGCAATGATTCTATACCTATTCATGAATTGAGTCCTGTGAGAAATTGACAAAGAGATAATTATTAGATAATTACATTTTTTAGTTAATGATGATAGCATTAACAGAATTTTATCAGTTATTGACAATGACATGATTCTCAAGAGTACAGTATTAGTTTCAATGAATTTTTTAATGTCATAATTTTTTGTTGCCTATATTATTCAGATAGTTCCCAACATCAACTTCTTGAGATGAATAAATTTTACAACAGCTTGCAACAAAACTTGTGTAAATATGGTGTTGAGACTCTCACCCTATATCTTATCAAATAGGTATGTAAAGAGCTAAATGTAAATAAAATATAAACTATTACAGAATAGTTTGTTTGCAGTATCCCTATTTTCTTAAATATTCAAGAGAAATAAAAAAGTGTATCTATCGGCTAGGAGTGAACAGTTGTGTTTGATAAAAGCAATTGTTACACTACAACTTTCAGTGTAGTATATTTAGTATATTACAATGATCAAAGCAGATCCCAATTTTCTTAGTTGAACCTTGGTTGCTTTGGAAAAGTTGTTGACAATCGAAAAATAAACAATACGGCATATGCCCAAGAAAGCTATTGTATAGTGAAACATGTATTGCTGTTTTGTAAACTGTTCAGTGAAAATCTCATAATGAAGTGTTACTTGAATATGTATGAAGAGTCGTCTTTCAATTCCTATTTATTTTCAGCTGATTATAATGTCAGACAAGACCCCAGAAACTCCAAATACAGGCAAAAACTATAAAGTGGCAGACAGACCTCAAAAATTACGTATAAAAGTGAAATAGTCTTGTATTTCCTGGGTAGCTCGAGAAGTTATTTACATACCCTATCATTTCCAATAATAATAATGAAAAAAGCAACATCAACTTTCAAACAGTGGATACATTGATTATAGGTTCACTTGATGACATAATTACTTTCTGAAGCATCTATATATTTTGAGAATAGCTGGCTCTCCAAAGGGCATGTTCGGTAATTGGTGTTAGAAAAATGGTTTAGGATAGGCATAGGATAAAAAAATTGTCAGTGTCAGTTTCAACATTCATGAAAAATTTTAGTTTTATGTATTGATTTGAGGAAAATATTGTTCATATTTACCATTAAGAAGTTCATCTTTCTAAAGTATATCGTTTTGCCAAATTTTTCACGAGAAATTCATTCATTTGTCGTGAAATTATATATAATTTTCAAATCTGTCATTTCTCAACATGAAAAATGACAAGCCAAGAAAGTTTTCATTCAGAAGAAAATCAGATGGAAACGAAATTATTGTACGTTCTGAAACCAATTCAAACTTAGAGTGCAGTTTTTGTATCAACATGGTATTAACATTCACTTGAAGAAAAAACATCATTCAACCACTTTTTGTCAGAATACCAGTGAATCTTCAAACGTTAATGAAAATCTCAATTCCATTAAAATTGAATGCTCATTTAGCATACCTGAAACAGAATGTGAGCATTTTGAAGAGAATACCTAAATCATCCAGGATGTTTGTTGCCGATTCTTTAGCCAATACAATAGATAATTGTATTCAATCAAATTCTTTGGACTCTTGGAAAAAGTTACTGTTCCGCATATATATCGTTTTGTTTTCATTCATCAAAAAAACCATATAAAGAATCCTTCACTTCAATATATAAGACCTATTGCTGTGGGCACATTTTTTCGACGCTTGGCAGCCAAAATTTCTTGTTTTTTACCTTTAAAAATATATTCGGGGACTTATTTCGTCCCGCAGCACGCCGTTTCATAAATCTCAGCATCTGAATTCATCTTCAACCATTTTTCTAAAACTAGATTTTCAAAACGCTTTCAACATGATTCACAGACGAGTATTTTTAGAAAGAATCAAAGATTTGATACCTCATCTTTTCCACTTCATCAGCCAGTGTTGTCAATAGCCAGCTTTTTTTTAATTTTGGAGACAATGTCATCATGTCAGAAAGAGGAGTTCAACAAGGAGATACTCTAAGTCCTGCACTTTTCTGCTTATCCATTGATCGTCTGACGAAATCAATTCAAACTGATTTCAACTGTTGGTACTTAGATGATGATTCTATAGGTGGTGGTCACCCGAATATAGTTTTCAGTCAGTTCAAAAATATATTATCGTCCTCTTATGAAATTTGATCAAAATGCGAAATTTTTTTTTAATTCACAAGATGCATCAATAATTGAAAAATTCAACAGTTTAACTCTTGGAATAAGAATAATAAATAGGCACGAATTGACTCTACTTGGTGCACCACTTTCAGAAGAATCTTTGGCTGAATGTTTAAGACAAAAAACAACTTCCCTAAATTTGATGGCCTCACATATCAAGAGCCTTCCTGCTCACATTGGATACTTTTTACTAAAGCACTCTTTAGCAATTCCTAAATTAATGTATACCCTAAGAAGTGGCCCTACGTAGCGATGTCGAAACGAATTTGCACAATTCGATTCTGCACTTCGAAAAATCTTGGAACAAATAACCAATAATTACTTCAAAAACGAATCATGGATCCAAGCTTCGCTTCCAGTGAATCTGGGTGGTATTGGCATTCGACAATCATCTTCACTTGCTTTTCCAGCTTTTCTCTCCTCCTTCAATAGTGTAAAGCATCTGATTCATTCTACTATTTCGGTCGGTAGCCAAGCGGTTCGGCGTGGGTGCTTTGTTCACTCAATCGAATTGACTGCCTTGTTGGTCGGTGGTTCAAGCCCTAGTATGAACGATCGATCTTCACTTGCTATCGTCCAACCCGTGTTAGGAATTACACGTTAAAAGGTAAGACCTCGTTAATCCTTAGCTCGCACAAGTTTCGACTTTTGAGGGTTGTCGTTCGTAGGGTGTGACAGCTGGTTAACGGAAAAACAGATTTTTTAAACAGATTTCATCAAGTTTCCTCTCTAATATTGATAATTCATTTTATTTGGAAGGTGAAAAAATATGGATGGAAAAATCAAATGCACCAATACCTGATAACAAGGGCTCTCAAAAATCTTATGATCTTCCTTCATTGCAGATGTTATCTACAGAGTTCATGGTTGCAGCTAAGGACTCCCTTACAGATCACGCTCGCCTCAAAGCTGTAACAACTAAGGAATCTTGCACGTGGCTCAATGCACTTCCAGTTGCATCATTGGGAATATTATTAGACGACGAAAGTTTCAGAATTTCAATAGGTATTCGTTTAGGAAGTGAACTTAATAGGGTGTCAATACAATTATATTTCTACATTGGAATATATTCCATCAGGAAAAATCTTAAAGTATATAAAATATATTCTTGGAATAAATTGATGGATGTTACTACGTGGTAGTAGTACGTGATACAATTAGAATGAACAGTTCATTGTAATTATTTGAAAAGGGTCTCAAAGGACGAAACTGCAGTAACAACATCAGTTATAAATAAAAGTGGTATAAAAACATAGAAAGTTTTTTTTGTCTTTTCTCATATATTCTTGGATTCATTAAACTCCTTCTGATTAAGCATATATCTCGAAAAAGTTATGAAGATCCTGTTGAACAGGATTTATTGCCAGGATTTGGATATCAGGCATGATGACAGACACAGTGATTTATTATGAATATCAGACCGGTAAAGTAAGCGGGCTCAGAATGAACCTAATTCGTTCAATGAAAATCTCAAAATTGTGTTTTCTTCCATGTTATCAGGTGGTGGTAGAATTGACTGAAAGTTCAGTTCAATAATAAATATAATTCTCTGCCACAAATCACATGTAAATAGTAGCCTCTCAGAAACAATCATGCCATTGAAAATTCTACAGTAATGATGCTAATGCAAAACTGGCGAAAACTGTGAAACTCCTGACTTGGGGAAATCACAATCATAATAGCTCAGGCAGACCTTTGAGTATTTTTCACCAACAATAATTGTTGTGGTGTTGATCTATACATTTTCTTTTGGAACAAATGGAATTATATTAGAATGTATGTACTGGGTTAGCAATAGTAAGTTTGAGTACACGCCAAACGTGATGGCGAGTCTGCCCCCATGCGCACAAACAAATTTTCAATTTCATCACCTATTAATGTTTCTGAAATAATGTCATCACCTAAGTTAAAATGTTCAATTATTTTCAAAGTGTTAACCCTTTATAGACCAATTATTGTAATTTTTGTTTTAAATTTTTTTTCATATAATAAGTGGTCAACAGCATATACATATAAACTGCAAACTATCTTGAAAAACCTGAAAAAAATCGTCACTTCCGGTTCTATTGGGTGGTAAATTATTATACCAAAGTGCATTGAGTGTTTATATGGAACCAAGCTAAAATGATATTATATCACTTTATTGAAATGAAACTTTATTCAACAATAACTATGACATTTCTTTCAAAACTGCATTATTTGCTACTGAGTCTTGTACATTATGTACGAATTCACCACAGCTGCATCAAGGAAATAGAAAAATAATTTCATCCACCACTTACGCGATTTCCATGAAATATTATATGTTGAATGTAACTGATCAAAGTGATCAACGCCTCCCATGTGCAGGATCCTGGATCGCTCTTGGACAAATTATATCCTCTTTCTCTCCTCTTTTATTTCTCCTCTGAACCAAGGCTTTGTCAGATGGATCATGCATATTGCTAGCCAATATGACGGGTTTGGTACTTCTGTCTTTCCATTTGTACACTGTTATGTCACCTGAAGAAACAAAATCGAATTGTCCCAACGATAAAGCTTTATTTGGACAAAGTTTGTCATGGGGAAATTGTTTTCGGTTGGAACGAAATGTTCCGCAAGCAAATATTTTGTCATCCAATAACCTTCGAAGCAATGGAAATGATGAGAAAAAATTGTCAAAATACAAGCAGTAACCATGCCCTGAGAGAGGTTTCGATAAATTCACAACAACTTTCTTTCCCAAGGCAAGATTGTCAGGATTTTCAGACTTTCCTTGGTACACATCGAAATCTACTATATATCCTTGTTTGCACAAGCCATTGCCCACACTTTGATCCCTCTCTTGATGGGTTTCAGAGGCATATACTGTTTCAGCGTTGACCGACCTTTGAATGCCACCATACTCTCGTCAATGGAAATAAATCTTGATGGTGCGAAATTTTCCTTGAATTCAGAAGAAAGATGGGTAAGTAGAGGCTGCACTTTATATAATTTGTTGTATCTATCTTCATCTTTTTTGGGCATTCGTTCATTGTCAGCCAAATGGAGAAACCTCAATATTTTCAAAAACCTTTTCATTGTCATAATCTTTGAAACTCTCTCATTATGAAAATTGTGATTGTTTGACCAGTACATTTTGATACTCGGTAAATTGTTGATTTCAAACAGTAACAATAGTCCAAAGAAAGCTTTCAACTCAACAATATTCAAATCCAGTTTCACACCTTTTTGTAATGCATATAAACTGCTCTGTTCTACGAAAGTTTTCATAATGATGTCGTCAAAATGTGTTTCAATAATGGATAGGACATCATTAGTGGAAATTCTACCTACCACTCCAAAAGGTCGATCAAAAGATGAATGACTCGAAAGAAAGGTTGGGATGTGGAGAAGCTTTTTTTCCACTTTATTGCACCTGGATTATCACATGGATTTTTGCCGGTGCTACTTCAGCTTCAATCGTTTTCTCTTCACTAGCTTCGGAAGGCTCTCTTGAGAAAACAAAAGCAGGACGGCGGGGCGGTTTCTTTTTACTATTTTTTTCATCAAAAGTATAATCTGGGTATTTTAAGCTATCATCAGATGAATAAGGTTCCGATTTTTCTGGATCAACAGTTGGAGACTGACGACGTATTCTTTTAGGAGGTAATATTTGACGTCGCGTCTTTGGTCTACAGCCTGATGTGGAGGGGAGAGAAGTCGAATCTACATTCAGAGTGGGAGTAGATCGTGAAGAAGAACTTGAGGAACACAAATGGCTATTCGATCGAAAAGAAAGAGCTGATTCATACGGAAAATCGTCTTCTGCGTTTGAGTCCCCACCTATGTCTGAGTCTATAGCCTGCCGGTCTGTTATTCCTTCTTGATCTGATGTCTCCTCATCGAGGAGGGCAAGCTTCGTCGCTTGACAATTTCGAAAGGTCGAAAGTGTTCATTCCTAAAATGATAAAAGCGACCCTGTTTGTATCCGTGCTCTAAAATAGTTCATATCATCTTTGCCGATAAAATATCAGCAAAATTTTGCGAACTGTATGAATGCACAGTGCTATGAGAACATATTGCAAAATTGCAAATTATGGGAATGTATATTTATTATGGAAAAAAATCAATTCAAAGTTTACGGAAATATTCTAACCTCAAAATTTCAAACGGAATAATCAATAATTTCTCAGATAAATGTAGGAATGATTTCAAAAAAATAGTTCATTACTCATTGATTCAGTTATTCTAATGATAGTTATGTACAATACTTGCTGTAGTATTACGGATAAAAGCTCACTTGGCACTTCTTTTCAACTGAACATCACAATAATGAAATTATATGACTACTTAGGAAACTTGGTAAATAGTTTTACCACCATCTCTCTTGCTGCCAACCTATGAGATGTAAGTGGTAGCTATTTTTACCAGGGTGTGCTGTAGACTATATAGAAACATATTCGATCCATAAGGATCAATATCTATAGAAAANGAATAAAAAAGACCTGAGGTTCGTAACTGGACCATAGTATATGACTGGACTTACCTGTGTAAATGAAAAGTACAGCTGTGCTTCCGACACTACATATCTCTAGCTTTGAAAATCCAAGCTCTGATCTGAATTTTTTTTTTTGCTGAGACAGCTTAGTAGTTGACCCAGCAGCTGACATTTTTCACCCCCAAACAAAATTACTATTGAAAATCTTCCAACTTTCCAATTATGAGCGAAAATATTCGAGAGACCATGATAAATATTCTGAGGGATTTTGGAGAAAATAATCAGACGGAACTAAATGACTCATATATTAATATTTTTTAGTTTTGTATAGGTATTAAAGTACAAGTATATAACTCTAATATAACTAATATTACAGCCCTGAATGATTATTTGACTGGGAAACAGTGTGAACTCTTGAAGAAACATGTTTCTTTCTATTCTGGAGATCTTCAGGTAGGTCCCTAGAACAATGGCAACAAATGTAAATAATGTTACGTTGATGAGAAAGCAAAATAACTTGATTAATATTTCATGTTAACTAATGAGAAATATCTCTGAAAATATTCTGAAATATATCGAAAATATAAAGACATCTTCGAATATGAAAAACACCACTTCAAATACCACTTGCAAAATTGCTTCAAGTAAACAACTTGGTTGTTTTTGACTTGATTTATAAAATAAATCCCAACTTTCCATACAATATTTTTACAATTTCAGATTAGGAATTTGTTTTGCTTTTCAGCACAATATTTTTTTCTGCTTTTCAGCACGAAAAAATTTTCTGACTTGTACTACTAGTTCAGTACCACAAAAGTCTGATAATAAATATATAATTTTTAATTGTTTTACCATTGGATTGCATGAACATCAATTTCTTGGAATGTTTTTTCAAATATGCTGCTCTTTCTCCTTATTCATTTCCTTCTACGAGATACATTTACAGTTACAGAATCTTTTGATATGCACATTTGCTATGAAATGAATGTCTATTTTTGACAAAATAGTTATTAATGGGTAAATAGAGAAATAATCATCAAAATGCAATTTGTTGTACTAATAAAAAAATACTCAACTCTGAATTGAAATAGATATATTTTCGGGAAAAAGTTTTGGCTTTCTACTTCCCCATATTTATACAAAAAATATAGGAAACCTCCGAAGGAAGAAATAATAGAATTAATTCTAAAATTAACTCTTCACAAAGATGTATAGATCATGCATAGAAGTTATTTACATAATACAAACTGAAATAGATCCCTCCCGAAAAAACTACTTTCAAATGAACTTTCACCCACTACTGATATGCGAGTAGTGGGCGATAGTTGGTAGACTATACCGAGACAATGCTGTGTGTGACAGGTCATGAAATGTTCACATGAGATAGCGTCCCTGAAAAAGCTGTGGGTGTGTGTGTTGTTCATTAACTCACAAAACATATAGGTAGCAGATACCTCCATCAGGTGAAATTCTACCTGAATATTCGACAAAAACGATATTGTGTAGAAACCGGCGAAGGCAGCATCTACATCTACATGGACTGAGGCATTTATGGACACACTGTATCTTTATTTTGTGAGTGAACTCATTAGATTATTAACCTATTCCCCAGATATATTTTTAGATTTAACTTTGTGTTTTGAGACTGTTGTTTGAGACATAACATCCATTATGTTTTTGTAACACATAACTTATTTCAATTGATAATGGAGCTGGAAATAGAAGTGAAAACATTACACCTTGTAGAGAAAATCACCCGATCTCTACACAATAAAGAAATTGCGGTTGGCGTATTTTTGTACAATGTAGGAGCATTTGACAACGCATTACCGATATTTATTAGATCAGCCTTGGTTGAAAAAGGCATAGAAACGACCATAACTGGCTGGATCTATGCCATGCTTCAAGATGCTACTTTAGATAATAAAATTCATTCACTCCTGTTGGCCCAGGACCTACCAACTAATAATGTAATTTCGGATTTTTCTGAGATGAGATAGACTTCAGCTACTTTGAAGTGGTGAATACAATTGACCTACTACATCAAATTCTAAAGTTCGTCTTATTTCATTAATCTCATTAGATATATCTTTCATTTTTGTATTGGAGTTTGCAAGCATCTTCCAAAACAATTTTCATTTTGGTGAATATTTCGCATTTTCTATTTATTAATTTTTTTATGAAAGTTAAATATTTCAAACAACTATAATGAAAGAAAATGAAGCAACTGTTGACAAAGAGGTACTGGCATCTTGAAATTGATGTACTAAGAAAAAATTGTTTTCACTTGTGGACAATAATAAATAAACAAGAATGATAACCAATGTCGAATTTCAATAACAATTCAAACAATTTTGCAATTTTTGAATACCATGTATTGTTTTTGATAGAAAACTCACCTGGAATTTCAACTTGGAAAAGGTTTTACACAAAGTCAGACTGTTCTCAGGGATGTCAAAAAATTCATGGGAAATCTTGTGGCTTACGCCCCAAAAAATTCCTTTGGATATATGTAATGATTGTTGGATCAATAATCACGGCCTCGTGGCCAAAAGCTTTACAGCAAAAGGCTGACACTGTAAGTCTCAGCATTCTGGAAATGACCTCCGACTTAATACCTCCAACTATCAACTATGACCTACATAAGTTCATTCTAGGTCCCTGTCGTCTGAATCATCATACAAAAAGACTTGGATTATCAAAAGATTCTGGAAGATGATGAACAGCAGAGTAGATTCAAATTCTTCTCCGCAGCGGACTCAATCAAGTTTTTAGAGTTTTGCACTCCAACACACTTTGTGGAACTTATTGACTCATTACGAAGTACAGCAATTTGTCTTGCCAATGACCGCTCATTGACAATAACTCTGATAATGTTAGAGCATAACAGGAAATTAGATCTGTCTCTTTACTGTCACAGTCAAGTTTTGGTTCGGATGATAGTATCATGGAATTAAATTTGAGAGAAGGTTTTTCCAATGCAGTGGAAACTCCCGAAATTTAAGAAAAATTCGGAATTTCCATTTTCATTTCGGCTTCCACAGTGTTTAATGAGTTCTACAGACTATGATCTTTCAGGGCACTCAAGCATTAAAAAATACACTCAAACGCTACATTTATATAAAACAAATAAAATCGTACCTCAATCTGATTTCTTGAGGAAATTCAAATTTATAAGTATGACTAAATGATTTTGAAAGAAATAATGATTGAATTGTGACGATTTTACTTTTCAAGGTATTATTCTTCAAAACCAAAATCTTGACTGAAGATGTGTTACTCACTTGAAAAAGGATAAATGCTGTTCCAATAAATATCTATTATTGCAATGTGCTAATTCAGGCCAGTGGGCAATGATCTTCCTCAAATATACCTGCAATCTTTTTCTCCTGTCTTCCACTAATCCTGAATCCTAAAGGAAAGAAATCTCTAATGATGAAAAAATAACACAATATTTCAATTGAACTACCTTTTTGCCTATACTTTTTTTTGGTGGAAAATCGAAACTTCCTACAACAGAATCTAACTTCTTTAAATCGGAATGTAAAGCATGAAATTGAGCATATCTTCTATAAATATTCCACTCATCGTATCCTGCTCTGAGGAATATCTGATAAACGTGATGAGAACTTGATCCAGTACCTGTAATAAACACTCAATTAATACCGTGAAATTGAATAACACTAGTAATACTTTATTCATGATAACATGAAATAGTGGACTATCTGATAATTGTTTATGGCCCACACCTTTTCATTTGAAATATATTTTAAATAAATGGAAACAGAGTCTAGGATTAAAAAAAGAGTTTCTCAGATCTTTCGGGTTGTTTCAAAAGTTTTGTCTGTTTTAATAATTCTACTTCAAACTGTAATATCTCAGTGAATACTTATTTAATTTAATCAAAATAAGCACAATTTGAATCAGTGCACTTTTTATAAAGTAACACAAGTCGATTAATTCCGTCAGCATGAAAATTGTGTGCTTGGGAGAAGTCGACGAAGGTTGTTTTTGCTTGATCCTGATTGGCGAAAGTTCTACAGGTGAGAAAGTTATCGAAGTATTTGAAAAGAAGGTAGTCGGTTGGCAAGAGTTCTGTGGATTATGATGGGTGAGACAACTTTGACACTCAATTCGTATAGATTTCGGACGGTGATTTGAAAAACATGCGGACTGTTCCAGTCCGCACATTTTTCAAATCCAGTTCAGTGGAACAGAATTGGACCTCTACTGCCGGCTGCTGCTGCTGCTATTTTCAGTACATTTCGTCGATTTCCTCGATAGGACTCTGCTGTGGTTCAGGTTGCAGAAAGTTATAGTGAATCACACCAGCCGCTGACCACCATACAGCAACCAAGGTATTTTTTAATGGGTTTTCACCTTTGAGAAGTGCCTGAGTGGCTCATCAGTGTTCAGTCATTGGCCTGAACGTCTCCTATTGTCATAGAGGATCCACTTTTCATTACACTTGAAGATCCGATGAAAAAAGGAAGGAAGGAAAGAAGGAAGGAAGGAAAGAAGGAAGGAAGGAAGGAAAGAAGGAAGGAAGGAAGGAAAGAAGGAAGGAAGGAAGGAAAGAAGAGAAGCCGCCACAACCAGTACTTGTACTTCCCTACATCAGAGGATTATCGGAAAGGATAAAACGGATTGGGTCCAAGTATAACATCAGGACCTGCTTCAGATCTGGGAACACTATCCGTAGCAGACCACTTTTCTAGCTTTCTGACCTTTCCAATACTCCAATAGGAGCTGACACCTATCCCACGCACCATTTGTGAAAGGTCAGTCTCCACCAGGTTCATCAAATCCTCGCCCTGGATAACTGCCACTTCGGGGCTCATCTTCGTGACAAAAATCTCCGGAATGAAATTTCGCAAACCAACGTCGAACAGTGCACACTATCATTGCCAATTTGAATTCGTAGAGAAAAATTGGCCAAAAATCGCTTAACGACAATACTCGTTAGAGATGAAGATATTATTGTATAGCCAAACACGTGTCGCTGTTTTGTAAACTTTCAAGAGAAAATCTCACATTAAAGTGTGTTTTTTGAATACATTTGCATCAAGTATTTGTCAGTTTTATCATATTTCATAATACATTGGCCCTTAAATTCAACAAGAAATAGGAAAAGAAATACCAATTATTATTTAGATGTTACTTTTTCACTGAATTGCTTGAAATAGATTTAATGTTGTTTTTTTTTATTACCTGTCAGAAATGCTGATGGAATCCAAACATTCACACTTCCTGTTGAATCTGAACCTATTTCATCCAGTGACATGACAGGACCTCTGAGTATTTCCAGTTCACTTTTTAGTTTATCTAGCAAAGCTTCTTTCTGTAGGAGATTTTGCTGAAGAATGACATTGAAATCCATCAGTTCTGCATGCATTTCGGCTACCTGGGAAATAGTCATTATATTCTTTCTAACCATGTAGACAATATATTTGAATTAATATTTAAGAAAATATCGAAATAAACATACTTATCAAAACTGCATTATATTGTCGTTGAAACTAGGATAAAGATCTATCGAAGAATGTTAAAATATCTCCGAGAAAAAAATAACTGAGGAGCTCCTGATTAGGAAAACGTGTTGAGTAATTTCATGATTTTTTTATTCTTTTTCGAGTTCATTTGCATAGTAATTGTCACCAAGAAATTTTTTCATAATCAATTTGTATGTCCCTCTATAGGTGTGTAATAATTTCATTTACTTATCAGCAGTCTAAAACTAAAACAACTAGCTCGTTCAATATTTCAACATATTGTAACGAATCTGAAGCCGCCCCTGACCGATATGTCGACCAGCGAACAAACACATGACATCACCGCAAAAGGAATGCAGTCGGCAACCACCGATTGAACTCTAGTTGAGTCCCGAAACGACTATAAGGCCGGCTTCTCGTTCAAAGATTTCAGTTGAATTTAGAAAGTGAATCGAGTGGTTAAACAAGGAATTCAAATAGTGGAGATAAATTGAGCGTTAGTTGCTAAGTGTTGAATATAAATTAGTTTGTGATAGTGAAATATTGTTAGAAATAAATTTGTTTAAGACAGTTAATTCTTTGATTTGTTACAATATTAATGTATCTATTGTAAACACTTTCCCAACACTAGAACAAAATTACGGTCAAGATATTAATGTATAATAACTGCCATATTAATTTATTTACGCAGGCTACTAAGCACTAATTGGGGAACTGTGCTTGAACTCAGGCAAAATGGCCTACTTCTCATTTATTGAATCTCACCTACAATATGTTATTTCTTTATGGGGGTCCTGCAAGAATCAGCTGATAAATTAAATATTTGTGTCTCAGAAAAGAGCAGTTTATTATATTTGCTGTATTCCATATTCACCTGGGAATTGGTCTACCTAATACATATGTCAAAAATAACAACAACTCTCCAGAGAGCATACTAGTGTCCGACCGAAACTGGTTTTTACGACCGAAACCGATTTTCGGCAACGGTCTCAGTTCCAGCCGAAATCGAAACTTCCTTAGAAGGATTACGTTTTGGAGGAAAAATAAAGAAAACGTTATTATAATCAATCAGTGAGTCTTTATTTTTTTATCTTTAAATCACAACGTTATGCAGTCTTCGACATTAGTACTTAATATTTATGTAATAAACAAAGTAAATCACAAAGTAAGTCTCGAGTCACGACATGATTAGGCACGTGAACGTGGCAAAATGTCTTCGTCGCTTGTATGAAACTCAACACACCGAACATGACCGATCACAGCGCGGGAACTCCCGAATGCAGTTTCGGTTTCATTCGTAGTTTCGGCAGGTTTGCCGCCGAAACCGAAACACTCGGTCGGACACTAGAGCATACAATACACATTTAAATGATAATATGTCTCTTCCTATACCTACAACCTCTTCTTTATGTGGGTTCTGCAAGAATCAGCTGATGAATTTAATATTTGTGTCTCAGAAAAGAGCAGTTTAGTATATTTGCAATAGTATGCACAGGGCTGAATGCAAACTTCTTTTTAAAAAACATGAAATATTACCTCTGTAATTCATATTCACCTTGGAATTGGTCTACCTAATACATATGTCCAAAATAACAACAACTCTCCAGAGAGCATACAATACACAATGATAATATGTCTCTTCCTATACCTACAACATCTTTATCAAAAAATTCATATTTGAAAGCAAAAAGATTTATAATCACTTGCCTGGTCTCTTTAAAAATATCACTAACTATTCTTTATTTTGAAGGCCAGTTAAAAGTGTACTTGTGAAAAAAGCATACTACAGTCTTCAGAAGTATTATGTTGATAATTTAGGTAAGCTATATTGTATTTTATTATATTATCTTTTATCCAAACTTTATCTACGTTTGTTTTACTATGTGTTCCCTTATCTTTTTACTGAATAACAAATCACTAACTAATTATAGTAGTCTTAGTTACCATTGCTTTGTCAATAAGATTTAGTCTTTGACAATAAAGTTTATTTTGATTGATTGCTGGACAGCATTAATAGAGCCATCAAAAGGCTCCAAATGAGGAATTTTCGTGGAAGATCTCTTGTAAATGGTAACAACCAGACCATTCCAGTAATCATTATGATAATAGGGTAACTCTAACTAAAAGAAAGAGCAAGTAATAGTGACCTGCGAACTCAACAACCTGTGAAGGAATTCATCGACTCCTTCAGGAAAACCAGTAGCTGTATGTCTCAAGGGGAACTATGCAAGGCCACTCAATTCAAAAAGGAAAAAAGATACAAGTTTGTGAAGGGCAAAATCATTAGTCGAACTGCCCTCTGTAAAGCAGGACATGTTGAAGGAATGAGTGATCAAAAAATCAAACAGCCCTTGGTCGTCATCTGTGGTTTTGGTGAGTGCAAATTTTACAGCAAGGGCAGTTACTCTCTCCCCAGAATAGATAATATCTCTGAATTATTCAATGCACCCACAACATTTGAATACTTAATGGAATTGGTGCTAAAAGAACTCACCTGGAAAACATACCTAGTCAATATTGATGACATTATAGTGATCAGAAAAAGTTTTGACGAACATCTGTCAAATTTGAGGAGTGCTATCACAAATCTGAGGAATGCTCATTTGTAGATCAATCGAAGAAAGTGCTGCCTCTTCTAGAAAAAGTGAATTTCTTGGAATACGTTGTGACCTCAAAAGGAGTTGAACAGATTCAGAGAAAATGAAGGCAGTGAAAAAATGGCCAACACCGAAGAGCAAGCATCACGTAAAAAGTTTCCTTAGTTTGACCGAGAAGAAAACCCCTTTCTTTGGTCACCAGACTGCCAGCGAGCATTCAATATCCTGAAGAGACAGTTCTGGCACACTGAAAAGAGGAGAGCTTGTTTTTACTCGATCCCAATATGAGCAGGAGCAGTATTCTCCCAAGTACAAAAGGAGAAGCTGTTTCAGTGAGTTCCTGCGAACATCCCAAAGAAATTACTGTATCATTAAGAAAACTATTAACAGTGGTTAAAGTGGTGAATCACCACCACTCCTTTTCATATGGTCATGAATTCTTGATCAGGCCAGACCACTCAGCACTTCAATGGTAACTAAACACGAAAACGCAGATTGCCTCTCAAAAAGAACATGACTGAAATCCGGATGCAAACTTTCCACCAGATATGACAGGGTAGCCGACAGACACTCCTTCATGAACCACTCTGATAGGAAGCTCCCCTACCACCCGATGCTTTCGGTTCCTTCTGATCCGGAGGGTAGCAACCTGTAAGGGCCGCTTGTCCAGTGATACGGACATAAGATGTGAGGAATCACCCGACTATGATGTGGTACGGGATAGATCAGAAATATATAGGTTAACAAGTGGTTCTTGCCCAAAACATTATAGGTATTGGCCCAAAGAATAAAAGACAATGGAGTATATTTGTATGAGTTCAATTATGACTGTGATGTGTTACGTTTCATAGAGAAGTACTTGGAAGCACTAGTTAGGTAGGTTCAATATGTTTAAAGAGTTTTGTTAGAATTATTTGAGTTCCTCTATATTCACATAAAATAAGAGAGTTGGTTTTGACTGTCAATTTAAAGTTTACGTGTCAAAAAATATATTTACATGTTCGTAGAAAATATACGATTATTTGAATCAAATCAAGGTAATACTAATAATATTCATTAAAACAGTATTTACATTTTGGTGACTGTGGTAAGACGCCTCATCGAAATCAGTATGAAACAAAGATGGTTTCATAGAAGACAGATAAATGTCATATGCGAGAAAGTTGATGTATTGGAAGAACAATTCAAAAATGAAAAAAAAACCATCAAGAAGCACCAGTTGGAATCACTTGTGTAGAATTTGGAAGATACAACCACAAGTCTGGGATGCATAGACGATAATTTGAAAGAATGATTATTTACCAAAGCAGATGAAGAAGTTTTGAATGAAGAGTTCCAATATATTCAGTTTTATAGAGATAAAAACTTCGAATGTCAATGCTAATGCGAATCTCCTCTCAAGAAGTTAGATAAAGATGTATAAACTAACAAATCAGAAAGCTATTGAAAAAAATCCATTTACCAGAGGTCAAGTTGGGCTAGTTCAACGGAAATATCGAGTACTGGATTTGTTTTTGAGGTCCATACAGGAAAGTTCACAAGGATGAAGACATGATGCCGAGGAAAAATTTCAATTCACGGCTTGTCCTCATCGACCAGTTGAAAGCAAGGTTCGCTAAGATAAACTACTCATCTAATATATAGAAATGGATGTTTGTTGGTTGGTTGATAAGTGATAAACTTCTACATCGCTCAACCGATCGTGATGAAACTTGACATGTATAGGTAATTTTTCATAGAGAAGGTTTTTAGACTATCAATTTTTCTGTAACTCGCCACTAGATGGCGTTTTAGAACAATTTTTTGAAAGCACTGTTCTATAATGCTGCGCCTAAGTTCGTTGATTCTGATTCTGTCAAAACATTGGAACAGCAGCGATACAGCAACATAGTACTAATTAGTACTACAACTACCAAATTCTACGCGAGCGAAGCCGCGGGCAACAACTAGTAGAACTATATATTAGGGAGCTCCTCAATTCAGTATTAAAACAAGTATTATAGGAGAAAACAGGTATATAATTTTCCAGTTTATATGATAAATTGCAAATAACTTGCATGAACTAAAGAAAAATTCACCTCAATGTTATTACCACTAGTTGAATCTGCTTTGGCATATGATTTGGTGAGGGTTTGAGAAAGATATAGAAATGTTAACATGGATACTGAAATGACAAAATTTCGAGATGTAAATTCACATATAAAAGGATTCAATCTCTCAGTGACCAAAAGAGGGTGTATCATCACTTACACCACAATTATTAAATTCGTATTAATTTCTAATTCAATCTATTTAAAAAATCCGAAATTTAGTAAAATAAAAGCACATTTCTGAAGTGATTCAATGGTGTCGCTGACTTGGCTAAAATCCAATGAAAATTGGAATACTTATGTAGCAAACTAAGTTTGGTAAATAAGAACTTCTAGCAATATTGAAGACTGGCATCATATACCTGGTAAAATGAATCCTGCATGTATTGAGTCCATTTCCACAGAAAAATTCAATTATTTTCAAAACATTAAAAAATCATTTGTTTGATAGCGTAGATTTTGGAATAATAATCTGTGAAAATGGTAGATTGACTCATTTTTGATGAAATAAATAAGGCTGAAATATTATTGTTGAAGTCAGTTTAATTACAATGTTTCAGAAGTAATCCCAATTATCTCAGAAATTGATAAGTAATGGACTATGGAGAATAGTTAAAAAATTGACTTGAGGTTATGATACTTATAACTTCAAACACATCCCCTACTTCTTCCATATAATCAGTAAATCGTCCATAAGCTAATGGAAAAACAACACCGATTAAACTCACATGTAGTGCTAGATTATAAAAGTAAGAAAAGCGATGAAACAAATAATCTCCAGATGTATCATTTGCAAAAGGCTTAGTTCCAAATATGTAGGTACACATTTTGCTCATCGCTAAGAGATAGAATAGTCTGTGGTGTAGACTTCAAAGTTGCAGGAGTTGATTTGGCTTCTCAAAGATGGAATAAAATTCAGGATTGTTTTATTTACATGTGCTCCAATGAAAAACATAGACTGGGAATTTTTTTTGGAATATTCATCTGTTAAGAAGAAGAAGAACTTTATTTCCAGATAGGCAAGCCTAATATAAACATAATTAATGTACTTTATCTAAATATAATACATAAAAATCAAAATAAATATTAAAATATGATATAAGGAACACTTAGCACACCTAAAATATGGAAGACCAGAAAAATCAGCAGTCGCCCATCATATTTTGTAACAAAACCATTCCATAGACTTTAGTTCATTAAGATTAGTTAGACAAGTTAACAAAAACAGGCATCTAGATGCCTATGAGAGTGTAGAAATAAGTAAACAATAATATTATGAATAACTATGGTGGACCAATATCTAATAGTATACTAAATAGCTTGTTGAAATAATATTTTAATTATTAGATTTACATGACTATTACATAAGGACACATTGTAAAATCAATTTAAGACTAGTAGATAAGGCAATATTGTGAAATTAATTTAAGAGACACCACTCAAGACGCAGATACCTAACGGGTGATTTTTTAAGAGGTAAAGGAATTGATTTTCAAAAAGACACAATTTTGTTTTTTTTTTTAATTTGAAGAAACCTTTATTGGAATCGAAGGAACGATCAATATAATTTAATGTTTAAAGATGATTTCATGCAAATGTTGTCCGCGGCTCCACTTTAGATCGCCCATGCGCAAGGTCCAATTTTGGCACACTCTCTCTAATATATCGACCGGTATTTCACGTATAAATACTTCAATATTGGCTTTCAGAGCGTCAGTCGTTGCTGGTTTATCCCTGTAGACATGAGCCTTAACATGACCCCACAAGAAATAATCCAAAGGCGTTAAATCACACGATTTAGGCGGCCAATTGGTGGGCCCCAAACGTGAGATAAACTGTTCACCGGAGGCGACTCTTAATTGGGCCATTGTTTCGCGTGCCGTGTGGCATGTGTCTTGTTGAAACCACATGTCAGACATGTCCAATTCTTCCATTTTGGGCAACAAAAAGTCGTCAATTATCGCACCGTAGCGCTCGCTATTCACAGTAACGTTCCGGCCATTGTCGTCTTTGAAGTACGGCCCGATGATGCCACCGACCCATAATCCATACCAGTTACTTTTTCGGGATGCATCGGTAGCTCTTGCAATGCTTGTGGCTGGTCTTCACTCCACCTGCGGCAATTTTGCTTGTTAACGTATTCATTCAACCAGAAATGAGCCTCGTCGCTGAACACAATTTTTCGATAAAAATGTGAATCTTCCTCCAACTTTGCCAGCGCCCATTCACCAAATGTTAAACGTTGTGAGAGGTCGCGTGGCTTCCCACCCACTGTATCTTATAAGGTTTTACACCCAAATCGACATTTCACGGTCATCACGAACAGTGGCGGATACAGCCGCAATATTAATTGGTTTAATATCCAATGATGTAAACTGGGTTCGAAATTTATTCACAAGCTTCCGAATAGCTCCCTCAGTAGGCCGACGAAACTGCCCATAAATTGGAAGAAGTGCACAATGCACTTTCTTCACCGAGCATGAATTTTGATAATAAAATTCAATAATTTGCAAGTGTTGTTCATTCGTAAGTCGATTCATGGTTAAATTATAGACCAAACTGAACAAGTTTGACAATGACACAAGAAACGATTCGAAGATGATCGAAACACGTGTCGAGGTGTTAAAATAACGATTTGGTGTTGGAAAAAACTCCAGTAATATTCATTACTACACCAAAGGTTCCAAACAGTGCATCACAAGTATTATAATAATTATCTCTATGTGTCTGAATTTAGTTTGCTTCTCTATACTCGTATATTCTTGGATAGCCATTTTGAGTATTATTGAGTATTACTGTATATTCGAATGAGATAATGTGAGTGCCTTCATTGAGAGCATGTTCAGCTCATTTGTCGGTTTGCTCGAGGTGACAATTTCTCGTGTTCAGAAACACGGGTACCTATATTTCTATTTGTGGTTCCAATGTAGACCAACCGGTTGCTAGAAGAAATCCGGTATTGCTGAAGGCAACTCACATTATGTCATCATCTCATTACTCGATAAAACTAAAAATTACTATCCAAGAATATAGAGAGAGTCAATAAAAACTAACTTCAATAGATAGAGGCAATGAATAATAAAAAACCGGAGACAAATTTCAACATTGCAGGTGCATAAGGGCCGCCGTAAACGCTCCAAGATATGTACCGAATAGGTACATATTCAAAGATCTAGACCTGAACATACACTACGTGGACGCAGACATGAGGAAACACGCAGAGGATACGTTCGACAGAATTCGAGGGCACGAAAACCCAGCGCTAAGCGACTTACACAACGCATTGAACAGGGATGACCCCAGATTCCGAGAGAGAGACAAACACAGGAGGCCAATGAAACAGAACCGAAGACCACCCCCGAGAGTCGCTGTCAGGCGGCTCCGGTAAGTATAAAAAATTTCTCAACCAGTTCAAATTAAACTCTCTTTCAGACTCACTGAGAACCAACACTCGTATGCTCTTTAAAAAGACACTCGTCTCCGGTTAGTTTTTGTGGACTCCATGCAAAAATTCAGTTAGGAAAGTCATGACAAAACAATTCAATAGATCAGAAAGTAATAGCACCTAAAGGCTGATTTTCGATCAAAGACGGTCAAATGTCAATCTTGCTGAAGTGCCCATCAGTAGGACTGAGGACCGCTCCTGGGGAGCAGGGGTGGATGGAATGGTGTATTAAGTTTTCCTTACAAAATGTATTTTGTGGGGCAAAGTTTTTACTCCAGGCCACTCAACCCGGGAGGGGGCATGGGGGGGATTGCATTGCAGTTTCTGTGTTGGGAACAACTCGAGCACTTTGACCATAAAAACCTGCATACCACGGCCAAATAACCCGGGAAATAGCTTTCACACAGATCTAAGTTAATCGATGAACATCTTAAATTTCTTTCAATAATGGGTACAAGAAAAATTTGTCTACAACTCAAACTATTGTGTGGAAAATCATAACTACATAAATCTCATTAGCATTTTATGTTATGTAGTTATATTATAAAGTTTATGTTATATTTATCATTAAGTTGTACTTAGCAAGTAAGGCGAGTTATAATCATTCTGTTTTTTATCACAACAATAAGCCTTCAGCAGTCGCGGGCCGCGGATCGTTAATTAGAAACCCCTGAATTAGAATTCAATTGTCAATAAATTATTTACATTTCTGAAGAAATGTTTAGTTTCTTTGAATCAAATCAATGTGAATACACTGAATACCATTGACATTCATTACAAAAAGACCAGTATTTACACCATATTTGTGGAACTTTATTATGAGGTTACCAACAAACAGTGATACAAGTGATACCTTCTTGGAGACGACTTACAGTAATTCATTGTAAATTTTGCGATTTGTTAAAATAAACATGCATTTGAATAAAAAGTAGAACAATTTTACCTGAACTAATTTCTTCTCAAACATCTTTGCTTCCCCCTTATAATCAGGCTCTAGTTCAATATTAAACTCCTCTAGTAAGGCTCCTATACTTTGATCATCACTCCTCAACATCTGTATAGCACTCATATACTTTTTCAGTTGCTCTTTGAGTCCTTCATTTTCCTTCATCAATAACATAATCTTCTCGTCCTTTTCACTTATTTCCTTTTTATTTTTGTATTCTACAGAAGTAAGAAGGGCACTGATATCTGCTGGTACTTCAATATTATCATTAGACAAATCAGATGGGTCAAAATATTGGTTGATTTCTACAGAAATAGGTGTTAGTTCCCCAATTTCTGAATTAGTCACTGGCCTAAGAGTATCAGGTAAAACCATTGAGTATTTTTCTCGTGATCCACTACTTTCTATAGAGAGATTTCTGTCGAGGTTAGGTTGCCTTTCTTCTTTTTCTTTATCCTGGTCCATTTTGGAAGACCTAATATATAAAAAATAAAGAAGATGAAAAGACCTATTAGATGAAAAAGTATGCAACAAGTGAGCCTGAGGCTTCTTTAATTTTCTATAAGATATATATCAAGAATTCAATATTGTGAAGTCACTCAATAATGAAAGAAACACATTTTTTTTATTCATTCTTCTTTACTGTACAAACTGTGAAAATTACATACAGCTAAATCTTGATTTAAAAAAAGTTGTCTTTTTTTGAGTACCAGTGAGTGATATCAAAAATAAATTCTGGGTTTTTAATTCCAGAGTTATATGGGAAAAACCGATAATTTCAAAATTCCATTTTTGATGTATCTTCTTCATTCGTCTGACTTATGGAATCCTCAACTTTCAAATCTTAAATACAAACACGTATTTTTTGTAGCAATTTTTTCTGATCGGCAATGTTCATATAATATCGTAAAAAAAGAGTTTTTGATATTATAAAAAATTCGGTAATTTGATGATTTTTTTACATTTTTGATCGCTCGAATGGTAGCAATTTTTATTCTCCTTATACGCATCAGCTAATTCTTGAAAACTTCACCAAGAACTTAAAAATGTGATAGAAACCTCTAATATTTTCAGTGAAGTTTTCCCATGTTATACAACTTCTAGAAATTTGGGGAAAACTAAAACTTTCATGTCCAGCCCCCATTTCAGCTTCCCTAGTATCGAATCAGAAGTCAATCACATAGGTACTCGTATCAACAACTAAAATATATTCTCTAGAAAGGTATTGGCATTATAATGAAAGATAGGAAGATTCTCAAAATTTTAAATGTTCAATGTAATTTTTTCTGTTCTCTATTATGTAAAATATTAAGATTTACTAGTATGTAAATCTATAATTGACTAGTTAGTCTGATGAGCATTTATGTTCACCTGTAAGGAACTGTATATTGCTTTAATGATGGACGAAGTTACTACTTCTACTACTTATCAGTAATAAAAACACACACGAGTTATTGTTTAGGAAGAATGATCTGAAATTGACATCAACCTGCAAATAAATTTATCTGTCAGAGCTCAAAAACAAAGCATTGGTGATCCTACACAAGACAGAACTGTTTGGACCTGTCACAATTCTCATCAGTGGTGCAGGGCTGAACCACCTCATTGGACTAAACTGTTCCTAAGTTTACTTAAAAAAACATAAACAAAATCTTTTATATTCAAAACTAGTAACATTCCAGAATATGTCACTTTTCTCAAGTACTTCATAACACCATAAAAAACTCGTACTTTACTAATTATACAAAATGGGGGCTGCAAATGAAAGTTTTTTCCTCAATTTCAGGAATTCGTAAGAAAACCTCACTGGTTTGTGATATCAAGTTTTCGAAAATAAGCAGTAATACATTGCTTTCATTTGAGTCATCATCAGCTATATTATTTAATTATTTGTGAAAATCATCAAAACTTGCAAGAAAATTACACTATATGAACAGAAATTTCGAGAGAAACTTCCAGGATTAAAATCAAAAGCATGCCCTTCAGATAAAAACAAAAATCTTCTTCGTGGATGGGAGATAAGGGCAACAATACAATATAACTCACTTCATCGTACTGGGACTCGAATGAATTTTAGTGGCACGCACATTATACACTTACTTCCCGAACATTCCATACTGTTCTCAAACATTCCACAACATTTGAGAATATTTTGGTATGTTATGGAATGCTCTCAAATATTCTCAAATGCCCTCAAACTGTTCTATAAAATTCTAGAGGGTAAAGTTTCCAGCCTCTTTATCCACACAATCACACCATATAACTTCCTCGATCGTACCAGGACTTATTTCTGAGTTGAGCGACATTCTCATCGTACATTTACTTTTAAGCAATCAATCGATTAAATTTATTCATCTGAAGACCACAAGTGGTGTAAGATATGTCAAAAATTTAGAGTATAGAGACAAAAAGCAAAATTACAGAGTAAAAAGTTGAATGTTAAAATGACAAGTCCAAGTGAAGACAGAATACACTACAATTTAAATATCAAGGCAAAATATACAATTACACACAGAGTACGACAGAATCAGTGATTTATATACTGAAAAAATAAATTCTTTCAAAGTATAAAAATAAGTACTTTTTTCAGTGACTTCTTGAATCTGAAATAGGTAGGTTCATCTATGATGTTTTGGGGAATTTTATTAAAAATTCGAATTTCGATGCTTGGAGGACCGTTTTGTGCTAGGTTCAATCTGTTTACAGGAATATTCAGGAAATGCTGATTCCTGGTGGAACGAACATGAATGTTATTATGACAGAGCGAAGTATTTCTATGTTTGTAAATGTAACAAACAGTTTCCAATATGCAAAGTGAAATAAGGGGTAATACTTGTACTTAAATGAAATGAATAAACACTTTTGTCTAAATACCCCATTATCATTGGTAATGGGGTCAAACCAGAAACCAGTCCTATAAATAAAATCTACCAGTGGTATTTAAACAAGTGTTTTTATCCATTTCATTCAATTAATCATGAATTACAATAAAGTAAACAAGTCATCAATCACACATAGTAATACACGTAGCTTTCTAAAGAGAGGTCTACTAAAGTCTGTTTGGGGTTTGCGAAACATGGCAAAAATTCACTTTTTCTGTGTAATAAAGGGACTTTTGGCAGCAAGGTGACTGTCCCCATATGCCAGTCTTGACTAAATTTCTGCAAATTAGAAGTTTTTCATTATTGGAGTTGTCAGGATATTATACATACAACATAATTGAAATATTTTGTTTTCAATATTTCTTATTAGAGTAGATATGTCGGTTTTCCAATTTAGTTCATCATTTATATTGAGACCGAAGAACTTATCAGATATATTACGGTTCACATTAGAGTTGTTTAATGTCAGGAGTAGTGTGTAGTAATGTAGTGATGAGATAGTGATAGATATTGATTTCTATTTGCAAGAAACGATCTGAATCAATCGTGTGCTCTTCTTTTAATGCTGAGTGCCCAGAGTTTGTCTAGTAGCCGATTGTGTGGTACACAATCAATTGGAGATTTTCTTTTGTCAAGCTCTTCCAGAATTTTGTAATTTTGTGGTAGCAGTAGCAGTTGACTGTGCTTTTCTGAATCCATGCTGTTTGGTTGTGAGTTTCGCAAAGATGTGGATTATATCAAATTTCTGTGAATGGTAGTAGCACCATGAATTGTAAGATTCTATTGGGCATATCTGCAGAATCTTCAGGGGGGATTTTTGGAATGTCATTAATAATTTTTTGGGGGCTTTACCCGGATCTGTTATTTGTTCATTCCCCCACAGAATGTGTATATTAGGTCGCACTGAATTTTTCTTATTATGTTTATTGATGATTGACTAGGAGGTCTTATTTTTGTTTTCTGAATGTTGAATGACATTACTGAAATGTAACTTGTTGACGTTCGATGAACCTTTTGTTATATATAGGTTTGGTTTTCAGGGTGGTATTTTTGAAGACCATATAGATCCTTCAATAATCAATTAGAGACTTTTATTTCCTCCGAAACCCAGGTGCTGCTAACTTTACTTCTGTTTTGGAGGTGTATTAAAGGGAATTGCTACATTGAAGTGAGATGTCAGAATATTGATAGTATTTATATTTGTCATCGCAGGATTTTGCGTTATAAACACAGACACACTTTTCAGAAACGAGTAATTCTGCCATGTGCTGCTTATTGTTGTTGGATAATATTCTTTTGTACCTAAAAGATATTTTCGCCGGAGCGGGTTTCTATTTTGATTTATTAACGTTTTTAACGTATTTAACGTTTGATTTATTAACGAAAGTAATAATAAGCCTGTGATCAGAAATAGGTGTGTCTATTACTACAGAGATCGCCTGTACATTTGTAAAAACATTATCAACTTTGGTTCTCGAGTATAAGGTTATTCTTGTAAAGTCATTTACTATCGATCTTATTCCAAACTGTTCAGTGATACTCAAAATACTATCGGCCTCTATAGATGGGATACTGAAGTCAATGTTGAAGTCTCCGCTTAACCACATTTGTAAACTAACTGAGAACATTTCATCTAAAAGCATCTCAAGTTTGTATGAGAAATTTTGGAAATTACTGGTAGGTGATCTATAAATGGAAAATATTTTGTGGGCTTTGAGGCCTCCACCACAGACCTCAGTCTTTTTCAGTACATATACAGGGTGTCCCTGGACTTCCTCTTTTCCTCTCGGGAATGTATAGATGGGGTCAAAATATCACCAGTACTTCATATAACTTTTTTTCCTAAAATCCTTCGTTACCAAGTAACGGGCCCTCGAAGTTACAAAATGAAAAATGTTTTTCTTTGATAACTTTTCAAGTGAATATTCAAAATCATCCAAATTTATTTGTAAATCTGAAGGATTTCTGGAATCTGGTGACCAAAGAAATGTTTTCTCTACTACTGTCTTTTTCTGCTGCTTCGAGGCACCTAATTAATACAGACAATTGTCACAACTGTCAGTTTACATTTCTTATTAATCATTTATATAGTACAATTCCATAATGGTAGGCACTAAATGCTAAGAAATATATTTGCATTTAAATGAAAACATTGTTGTGAAGGTTGTGATTCTATATAGTTCATCATCACTTTTTCTCGCCTGTATAGTATAATTTTCGTACGCCACTGCAGCAGAAAGATTAAGGCTAAAACCTCAGTCATTTCTGAGAATTTACTGCCTACTATTTTGGAATTATAGTATAGTTAATGTATTACTACAGAGGATTTTTGGAATATTTAAATTGCATCGTTCATTAATTTCATCTTGAACATTTTTTCAAAGGCAAGCAGAGGATAGCTATTAATTATGAATTATAATTCAGGAGATTTTGCATATAATACAAACTACTTGAATGTTAACGTTAAACAAAAATTAAAAATATGTACTTTGAATCAGAATTACAAGGGTGATCATTATACCTTTGCTTATTACCTGAATTTTTCTTCATCAATTTCTTTGAGATTAGCAGATTTGTTTCTGAAAGATGTGTTGTCTCCTAAGGATGTAGTGTCCGATGCAGTGCTACTTGAACTAGACGGAATACTAGTGGAGAGTGAATTGTCATCATCATCAAATGAGATAAATTGCCGCGCAACCTTCTTTTTCTTCTTTTGTTTAGGTTTGTCTTTGTTTTCTGGAAATATCAAAAACAAATTTGAATGAATTATCCCAGGAATATAGATAGATAGATAAAATGTATTTGTTCAGGATAAAAATACAGTACCCCTGAGGGCATAGAACATGTCAGTACAAATATAAACATATATCACAATAATATTAGGTTAAAAGAGGAAGGAAAGATGTACAGTACATGAACTGTACAAAAATATATGCATACATATAAAAATATTAGTACATGTAGATATAGGCTCTTAGAGTCCATTATTGTAGTAAAAGCAGTCAAATAGATCAAATAATAATAAACAAGAGGCGCACGGAGCGAGAGGGGACCGCGGTAGCTGATTCCTCGACTTGATAGTTTTGATGACGTCAACATGTTTTATATTTGATAATAATGTATTATAATAAGACAGTTGTTAGTAAGACCTGATTTGGGAAGGACCCCCTTGTACAACTCCTAGGCAATAAACCTAGTATCTAAGTATTCTGGTGTTTCCCTCATGGTATTTCCCTCATAAGGCTACCCCTGAGTCACTCCTCAAAGCGAAGTTGTAACAATATCTTGGGGACATCTGTCGAAGCACCCCAGAATATTAAACCGTACTTGATCCTTGAGTGAACTTGTGCGTAGTAGACACACACAGCAACCGTTAAAACCAATGAACCTGGTAACAACCATTAGAGCATAGCAATATTTTGCAATATTTTGTATTATTGAGGTTAGGTGACATTTCCAGTCCAATCTAAGATCAAGCTCAATTCCCAAGAACTTTGTACTTTTGCAAGCTGATATTGTTGATCTACCATCTGAGGCTGAGTATTCAAATGCAGTTGATTGTTGGAAAAACTTTATTACTCGTGTTTTGTTTATATTCAACTTTAAGTGATTATGTGTGAACCAATCTTCCAATGTATTCAGTGCTTCAAACACGATTCTGTCTAATTCTTCAATACTATGTTCCTTGATTACTACACTTGTGTCATCTGCAAACTGCACAGTGTTGAAATCAATAGCATTTGCTAGCTCATTGGTAAACAGAATATATAACAACGGCCCTAAGATTGATCCTTGCGAAACTCCTCTCAAGATTGTTAATTCATCTGACTGTATGTTTTCGTTAGTGAGGTGGTATTTTTCAACAACTCTTGTGTTCTATTTTGCAAGTATGATTTTATAGGCATTAAGCTTGCCTATTAGTATATTATGGTCGACACTGTCAAAAGCTTTTGACAGATCTAGACAAATAATTAAAGTGTGTTTTCTTTCATTTTGACTATTTAGCACTGTGCACAAGGCTTGATAAATATCTCGTGTAGTAGATTTGCCTCTTCGGAAGCCATTTTGGGTGTCACTCAATAACTCAAACTTTTCTGGATAGGCTATAAGGCGAATATTTTACTAATGGTCGATAGTAGAGCTATTGGTCTATAATTTTCAATTTGATTTCTATCACCTTTTTTGAAAATCGCTTTTATGTGAGCAATTTTCAATTTATTGGTAAATATGCCATTACTAAGCATCATGTTGACAATCAATGTTAAGGGCAGTGAATTTCAGTAGTTTTACAGGAATTTCATCATAGCCGACAGATCTGATGTTTTTTAGAGATAGTATCATGCTATAAATTTCACTTTCAGTTGTTGGTGTAAGAAATAGAGTTTGGTTCACTGATGGTAAGCTAGCAGGATTATTTATTTTATTGTTTGCTGGTTTGGAAAGGAGACTAGCAGGGTTATTTAATTTTGGATTCGCAGGTTCCGAGCATTGATTTATGTAAAAACTATTTACTTTATCTAGGACCAGTTTTTTATTTCCGTTTTCTGTATCTAGGTTTCTTGAAATTGTGTCGCTTTCATGTTTTGCTTTCCCAGTGTATTTTTTAACTAGTAACTATGTTGCCTTTCCTTTATTTGTAGCATTTGAAATATATTGATTGTCAGATATTACCTTCGACTTCTTGATAACATTTTTTAGTATTTTGCAATATTGTCGGTATTGTTCATTTGATATAAGTTGTTTTAATTTCTTTTGATAGAGTTTCTTTTTATTTTTACATGATATTCTAATGCCCTTAGTCATCCAGTTTTTTGTGTCTTCATTTTTAGTAATAATTTTTTTTGACTTGAAATCATGAAGATGAAATGGTCCAAAGAAAAAGGTCATTGACAATCTACCTAATCCAGATACAGGTATTATCACACCAAACTACCTGTATTAACACAAACACGCTTTACAAAATTTACCTAGGCCAGGTACAAGTATTAGCACACCAAACTACCTGAGGAGTCAACATAAATACGCGTTATGTAGCCGTAATATCCAGTCATCGGAGATATTAACTCAAGATGTATAAACCTCTGAAGAAGATAGCCACCCGCGCCAGCGAATCGTCTGGATAAAATTCCAAAAATCCACGGCCTTCAAACGAGTAGAAAAACCATTCTTATAAATTGGTGTTGATATGGACTACTTCAAACACAATGGGAAATATCCTGTCTCAATAGCATTTAGGCTATTGAGGTGTCGCTGGTTGTAGAAATACTGAAGAACACCGATTTGTATTTTTTTCAATAGACTGATTTGTTTATTCATTGAATTCAATGGTTGATGTTCTTTTGATCTTATTTTACAATTACATCCCAGTGTTGATATAAGTAGTATTGAAAATATGTAATTTCTTTCATATTATAAGTCAAGTCCCCGTTTCAAGTTTAAATATCAAACATTTCATTTGATATTTTTCCAGTGACAATTTAAATTGTTTTCGTTTTCATTGATGTTTGTTTTAAAGTAGTTATTTTTAGTTTTTTATTAATATAGTAAGTGTTTTTTATAATTTTTGTATTGTTGTAAATCATGCTCTAAAGAATATAACGCCGGCCGCCGCTGGTAGCCATAAATCAACTGTGACGTGGTCAAGACCGCGCTCAGCCTCGATTATTCTAGCCTTCTCACCGGCTTTGATGGAAATCCCGGCGAATATTCCACCAGCTTCGATGAATTTCTGAGGAATTCTCCACAGGTTTTGGGATAGTTCGTTTGACGCATATAAACGCTATAAGACGATAGACATTCGAGTAATAGTTGAAGTTTCAGTTAAAGTGTTTAGTTATATTAATAGTGAAATAAAGTTGAGTTTGAATATTGTTCAATTTAGTCAATTATTGGTAAGCCCACGAGTAAAAACGTTACATTTGGTGCCGAAACTTGAATAATTGACTGAAAATTTACCGTTTTATGGTGAAAACATGGAGTGTCGATTACGAAGAGATGTAAGAACTAAGAAAATGTTCGAGGTTTTGCAAGCGGGCCTGGTGGGCCGAAATGAAGAAGATGAACGACGGAGGGAGGAAGAAATATAACGCAGAAATGAAGATCGTGAATTACTACTAGGTATTCAGATGAACCTTCAGTTATTGGAAGATTTAAAATCTTCCCAAGTGAGTGAATGGGTGGTACAGGCATTTACTCAGGAATAATTTGGAAAAGTATTTCAGGAAACAAAGGAGAAATTGGAAAAAGCAGTCGATAAGAAGCTTGAGGAGGTCGAAAGAAATTTTGAAGAGGAGCTTTAAATAAATCTTGAAGGAGTGGACAAAAAGTTTGAAGAGGTTTTCCGGCAACTCCGGAAATAATCACCGGACCTGAAAAGGGTTACTGTGGGAAAATGCAAATCAGAAACGACTTCTCTCCCTTCTAGTAGTAGTTTTATTAAAACTCCAACCTTCGATGGCGAATCTTCATCGTTAAGTTATTGCAGAGAACTTGAGGCCGCTGCGAAAAATAATGGGTGGAAAAATGAGGAGAAAACAACAGCTCTCATACTGGCACGCAAAACATTCCAGTCAATAAGTAGAAAGATTATGAAGCAGTTATATCAGCTTTGGAGGTCAGGTATGGTAGTGAGCACCTTCAACAAGTCTACCAAGCTCAACTGAAGGTGAAAACTCAAGGTCCATCTGAGAGTCTGCAGAAATTTGAGGCTGAAGTCGAAAGGTTGGTAATTCTCGCCTACCCAGAAGCACGTGTGTTTTTTACATAATTTTAAGGATTCTATAATTTTTTGATTTAACATTTTTGACCCTTGGGTCAAGTTATAATTTCAATATGTTTATTGTGTTCATTTCTCTTTATTTGAAATTGGAAACTTTCATGTTATTGTATTTGTTTAAATAAAAGGCCTATAATACTTCTATTGTTAACTTTCTCAAGACCGTCTATTTTATTTCTTCACGACTATATTATTTGGGTTCAAATACCGAGATTTACAACGGTAACGTGATGTTTCTCTGCATTTCTATCTTTTTGAATGTATGGCAACTATTATCTACAATCCTTACTAATTTCTCTGTTTGCCGAATTTCGATCTAAGCACCCTTTTCGAAGATGTTCGGGAAATACGTGACTTGACAATAATTCCAGCCCATCCTGATAATTTACCGTCTCTCAAAAAGAAATTTTTGGGGGATAAGACCAAGTGGAAATTAAAATTCAGTATGCATCCGAGAGTGAATGTAACAAGACATACCGTCTTACCGCGTATGACAAAAGTTTAGTTCATCGTTTTTAAGTACCATAGGAACATCTTGTTGCAAGACATACCGTCTTCCCAGATACCATTTTTGTTTTTTATACATTGAGGATTCTACTATAAACTCATAGTAAATAAAAGATTGATTAGATAATAATTTATCTGGTCAAAAATTATTGGTGAAATCTAATTACTTTTTTCAATTTTAAAAATTTGGATTAAATCAATAAATAAAAAACAACGGGGTTCATGACAGGGAGCTGCAGCAGTCGATGAAAAATTGAATGAAGCCATCATTTATGAAGGAAGTTTATGAAAGTTCTAGTGAGGGCCATCAACGAAAAGGAAGATGAAGGAACAGATCGACTCATGGTAGGTCTAGAGGAACTTTTAAAGAAGTATTTGATAAATGTAATTGCACCCTAGGAATGAGGGCGAACTAAATGCTGTAACTGCGGGAGAAAAGGACATTTAAGGCGGG